TACTTCCCGAAGTTAGCCACGTATGCTAGATGAGCATACCACATAACATTAACTTGTTGGCCACTCTGGACATGTAATAATCCTGAAACAGTGAAAAACCTGCTAAACAGGGCTGGGTGATATGGCTTAAATTCCATATCGTGGTATAATTTGAAGCATATGCGGTAACGATACATGTTGTGATATATTCTTTTCTTCTGTATAATGTATTTTAGACACTATAAGGCACAATTAAAATCCTTTAATTTTCTCAAAAATTTACAGTGCGCCTTATGTATGAATTCTGGCTGTGCTTACTGACCTTGAACCGAATTTATGTGCTACACGGCGCTCTAAAATCTGTCAAAAATGTTTCAGTCCGACTTTGGTAAGCTACGAAGCCGCACCGCTTGATGGATTGTTGGAGCATTACGGCTGCCGTAGTCAGGTCCCAAAGTCACACAAATACTGCGGCATCACTGAGAGTTAAAAACTGTCTAAATTCTTCCATCTTTAATAAAATGATCAGCGTTGCTGCTTTACCAGGTGTAACAATTAAGTTTAACATCCAGGCATCCATGAAAACAGAATTTATTACATTTAACGGAGTTAGAAGTTAGCAGGAAGTTAGCTCGCTATTTTCCACCTAAGCATGATATAGCATGTTCTGACTGAGAGATTAATAAAAAAAAAAATTCAAACGTACAGCTCTGCTGTCACTTCCAACATAAAGTAAGACAGAAAATTAAACAGCAGTGATGTTTGTAGGGTTACTGAAGTTGGGCTAGCTGGTATATAATGATGTGCTACGTGATCGCTAGCAAAACAGTTAGCATAACATACACACAGTGAAGCTGGAGGATGAACGCTAACTTTTTTCCATTCGATAAAAGTAAGCGTGAGGATTCTTGCTGGTCAGGAACAAATGCAATCGCATGGCAGGATGCTGTAAACGGACCAGAACAACTGAGATAATCCATCCACAATATGAGGTTAGTCATTAATATACTGCAACAACATGGGAATAGAGCAGCTGCAGAGAATTCGTCATCAATGAATCAATGGTATGGAAGTGGAGGAAGCGCAGTAATTTGCAGATGATGTTGTTTGCAGTCCCTGCAATGCTTTCGACCAAAACAGGCGCAGCTCGATGACACCATCAACATACGCTATCGCGTATATAGTCAAACTGTCTACCGTTGGCCAAATTTATATAGTTTCTACCGTATACGTTTATGCCGCCCACCCCTAGATGTAGCTAAAGTAAATAAATAAGTGTAAATACGCTGTCGCAACAAGCATC